TGAGAAAAATAAGTTAAAATGACTTTAAGTTAGAGAACTGTTTAGTAAAAACGAGAAAGCAATGTTTTCATTTTTTGAAGAAGGAATGTAATGCAAGTTAAAATCCACAAGTTAAAAGGTTAAAACTTCCTACTCTTGATTAACGCAAAATTCTGACTCAATTTTATAATGAACCTTTGATTTTAAGTTAAAAGTTATTTCCAATCAATATGCTTATGACTTTTTATGAGTTAAAAAATAACTTGAATCAATCTACAAAAGTCATATCAAACATAATCTAACTGGATCTTTGAAATCCATGTGAAGTTCCTTGAATTTTTTTTTATGAAGCCGCACTGATTTATATGGAAGGAATACAAAGTAGAATTGCCATAAGTAAGAGGGAACACAAAGTAGAATTTTTGTAATGAATTCAGCTCTATACTAATGCTAGTGTTCGTGGACCAGGATGGCTCTTGTAAAATAGTCCTTGGGGCTCATGGCAATGGAGAAACGATAACTGCTCTTCCTAGTGAAATTGAGATGGTGGTGCCAAGGAAATCAGACAAGATCAAGATCCTGGGTGGTGCACATCGTGGGGCTACTGGCAAGTTAATTGGCGTTGATGGCACTGATGGAATTGTAAAGTTGGAGGACACTCTTGATGTTAAGATATTAGACATGGTTATACTGGCAAAACTTGCACAAATGTGATTTTTCTGAGAATACACATTAAAATGCAAGATTTTTTTCCCCCTGCAGTTCAGCTCTTCTTGATCTTTGGTCTGTATCAGTGTTTAAAATTCCAAAGCTACGAGCAGCCTCAATCTTACAAGTAGGCTAAATAAGAGTTATCTGATTTTCAGAACCGAACATGCAACAGTAGTTCTCGACAAAATGGATGTCTTGGAGCGGGTTTAGAGGTAAAAACATGGAGAAGTAAGCATCAATTTAAAATGAATAATTTTCTTCAGTTGGAAATTGGAATGTGGGTTTCTTGTAATGGTTACTGAGCTTTTGCAGGAAGATCATACAAGTAACCTTGCCAATCATATAACGAAAAATCCTGACAGATATATAAAGTGTAAAGTTCTCAGGACTAACAATCTTATAAATTAGATGCCTAATCCTTCTGTTTCAGCTTTACAAGGAAAATCCCAGGACTAGTCTCGAGACCCTTTTATTTTGGATTGTTAATTCATGCGAATCACCCAATTGCGTGTTTATAGCGGTGTACTGGAGACTCAACACGCTTTTTCATCAAGAATTAAGCCAAATTTACAAGAGAAGCTAACAATAGTTTAAATATCTTATAAGATCTTGTTTTATGTCATATATGTTTGAACTTCAACGTGATGAATCATTTTTTAATTAGCAATTCATACAAGACTTGCTCAGTCAAAGATTTTTTGAGATTTTCATGTAATAAAAATTCATACAATTTTTGTTATCATCATTTGTAATAAACAAAGATATCCTGACAATGCTTTACTCTAATATCTCATAAAATTTTGTTTCATTTATGTTAAAACTAAGAAGTTTCAGAGTTTTAACTTTTAATTCAATCAAGATTTATATTAAGATTTTTAACATCTTTATTAAATTTAAGAGTTGTGTATAAGCAAGCATATCAAAGACTCTTTTTTTAGATGGAAATTAAAAACTAAATTAAATCAATTTGTAAAACTCATTAAACATAACTTTAGTTTGCTATGTAAAAATTAATTCAGAAACAAAAAAAAAATATCACATTAAAAATATTATTTCACATTGCCTTCTTTATTTTTATTTTTTTGTTTTTTTGTTCGAGATAAGTTCTACTAAGTAGTTCTTTTTATTTTTTAAATTAATATTTTAAAATTATTTTAATGTGTTGATATAAAAAATAATTTTAAAAAAATAAAAAAATATTATTTTAATATAATTCTAAATAAAAATCACTTTGAAAAATAACAAAACACTCTCAATTCCTAAAGCTGGTAGGAATCTACATCCGGCGCAAATCCAACAAGGTCCAGAAAAAATATAGAAGAAGAAACGGCTGAAAATTTTGACGAAGTGAAAACCTAGACTAGTAAAAAAGATGACCATGCTATTCATAAATGGAGTTTTAATATATTTAGAAACTATTTATTATCTTATGAATAAAAAATTTAAATGTTCATATCTTATTTATTGAGTTTTGAATATTCGTATTTAATGTTACTTAATAATATTAAATGATGTTGTGTGTGTGTGTTATTAATATTGTAATATTTTTTATTTATTATATTGCATCTAAAACCAATATAAATATTCTCACTACATTTCAAGACTTCCGGATCACATCCTCAAGTTCATCTTCAGCAAATTGGCTGTCACTTTTCTTCCAAGATGCAGTTATGTATGCAGGTCATGGGAACAAATTCTTCTGGACCCTGATTTTGCTAGTTTTAACCTCTCGGTAACAGAACAAGTCGTCGTCTTCGTTTTTGTGAAAGAGAATAACTTCTGCTGGCAGGGGAATCCCTCCATTTTAATCATTTAGAAGAGCTCAATTGCCTGCCCGGTTCTCTTATTTATGCCAGTTCCTGTAATGGGTTGCTTTGTGCATGTCAAGATTATAGAGTTATGCACATAATAAATCCCATCAAATGCTAGTATTAATCAATGTTCTAAAACATACGAGAAAAGTGGAAAGTACTATAGTTTTTCCATCTTTTTTTTTTTTACTTTTTTTTACATTTTTTTTCTCTTTTTTTCTCAAAATTAACTTTTCTTTTTTTAATTTTTTTGTTTTTATTTTTCTCCAAAATTATTTTTACTAATCTTTTTCAATATGAAATTGGTAGTTTTTTAAAAAAAATATATAGACTGTTATAATATTTTCATACATAGTTTTTTTATTTTTTATTTTTTAAAAATAATATTTGTTAATTTTTTTTTATTAAGCTGGTTAAAAATTTAACTTTGTAGTTTTTTTAAAAACAATTATGGATTGTTATAATATTTTCCCCACGTAATTTTTGTTTTGCTGCAGTGTTTCACCATATATTTTTTTAAATTATCTTTGTCGAATTTATTTTTTTAATATTGAGCTGGTAAACAATTTAGCTTTAGCTTTCCTCACATGCTTTTTTATTTATTCCCTTTTTTTTCCTCCAAAATATTTTTTTCCTTTTTTTCTTCTTTTTTTTCATAATTAATTTTATCAATTTTTTTATTATCGAGCTGGTTGAAAATTTAGTTTTTAAATTTTTTTATTTTTACTATTGAGTTGGTTGAAAATTTACTATTTTAGTTTTTTTCTTTAAAACATTGTGTACTACAATAGTGTTTCTTTACATAGTTTTTTAAAAAAAATTTATAATTTTATTTTTTTTATATTAAGTTGGTTGAGAATTTAACTTTGTAGTTCTTTAAAACATTATGGATTGCTATAATATTTCTCCACATAATTTTTGCATTGCTATAGTATTTCCCCACATGTTTTTTTATTGATTTTTTTAAAATTATCTCTATTGAATTTTATTTTTTTCCATACTGAGCTAGTTGAAATTTTAACTTTGTAGATTTTTTCTTTAAAATATCATTGATTGCTACTATATTTCCCCGCATAATTTTTTTTGTTATAATTTTTTTTTAAATTATCTTTATTGATTTTATTATTTTAAATATTAAGCTAGTTAAAAATTATAACTATAGATTTACTCATGAAACATTATAAATTGCTACTGTTTTTCTCTACATGATTTCTATTTTTTTTTTGTAATATTTTTTAAAATTATCTTTATTGATTTTATTTTGTAAATATTGAGCTGATAGAGAATTACAATTGTATATTTCCTCACAAAACAATATAGATTGTTGTTGTATTTTTTTATATAATTTTAATATGGACCTGATTGAGAATTTAGCTTTAATTTTCATCATATTTTTTTTTATTTTTTTTTATTTTGCTTTTGCTTCTTTTTTAAAAAACAAATTCTCTTTTTTTATTTTATTCATAATCATTTTTGTTGATTTTATTTTTTTAATATAAAATTTGTTAAGAATTTAACTCCGTAGGTTTTTTAGAAAAACACTATAAATTACTATAATGTTTTCATATATATTTTTTTTTCTTTATTTATATATTTTTTGTAAATTATACTTGTTGATTTTATTTTTTGATATATTAAATTATTTAAAAATTTATTTTTATAATTTTTTAATTTAGTTTCATAATTTTTTACTTTAAAACACGATGGATTACTAATATTTCCTTACATAATATTTTTTTTTGTTATAATATTTTTTAATTTTATTATTTTTAATATCAAGATAGTTAAGAGTTATAATTTTATATTTTCTCATAATTTTATATTTTCTCATAAAATACTATAAATTACTATAATATTTCTTTATTTGGTTTTTTTTATAGTTTTTTAAAATTATTTTTTTTACTTATTTTTTAATATTAAACTGAAACTTTAGCTTCGAAATTTTAACAAACAAGCACAAGCCTGGGCGATACAACATCGCGCTAGCAGCTATCCTCCGTGTGAAGATGGAGCGCTCTTGCACGCAAATTTGAGCGGGCTTGGGCACGATCCCCAGACTGAGAAATTCAAGGTTCTTTGGATTACTCGTCCTCTCGGAATGGCTGTGAGGGCTTTTTCCGACGAGCATTTGAAAGCTGAGGCGTGCACACTCGTCAACACCACATGGAGAAACATTCCGGAACACCAGCAGCTTGTCCATTTCCATTTCCATCTTCATAACCTTAACTATTTGTTAATGGATCTCTTCATCGTATTGCGTACAAAAAGGAGTTGAGCAAATATGTGCATTTCATTTTCAAAGCGAGCAATTCAATCATTTATTTGGAAGAAAAGCTTGAAAAAATTAACTTGAAGTTTTAAAAGATATCATAAACTTTATCAATCATTTATTTTTTAAAAGTGGATTTATTTTATTTATATTTCTGACCAAAAAAAAACAGAATAATAATGACGACAGAAGCCACTTTTCTCCGGTCGGAAGGTCGCTTCACATCATCATCTTTCGAATGAATCGTGCTTTATTAAATTTTAAATCTCAGGACCTGAAGGTGATGGTGAACTCAGCCAGCACATGATGCTAACCAACAAAGAGTTTTGTTATTTCTTTCACACAAACTATATCTCTGTTGATATTTGTTACAAAAGACTAAAAATCACCTCACCAACTTCGCGCTAGGAAGGAAAGCCTAACCACAAGAAATGCTGCAAATGCAAGAGCATGCAAGGCTGGTTGCAGTACTGAATATCTCAACATGCATCCGAAATCACCTGCAGCCACAAATAATAATGACGACGGCACATTACACAGAGATAGCAAAAAACCTTCAGCAAAGTACAAGAAGAATTTCAATGATCAAAAAGAAAAAAAGACGGGGGACAGGCACAACAATTTCAGTTGCTTTCATATTATAAAACTTTACAGTGAGGGTTCCCCAAATGAAACCCAAATAGTGAGCAAGAAATTAATCTGCAGGCTGTAAAATTTAGATAGAATAGGTATCAAAAGGACGGCTGAGCATGATGCCAATATGAATTTGCACTAATACACAAATACTAACAGAAGGAAGTTAACAGAAATCTCATTAGTTGAACGAAGGTGAATGAGAAAAATAGCATAAACCTAATAGAGGTCGCTGTTTTTAGCCCCATCTTGATGCGCACAAATATCATTTGCATTGTAGACAACCAATGCAATGCCACTCAGACCCTCATTAATTTAACACCTATAACAGATATCATTTGCATTGTAGACAACCAATGCACTGCCACTCAGACCCTCATTAATTTAACACACCTATAACAGACATCGACATTCTCGAACCCAGGCAGGCTAGTAGAAAATGGCAGCTCATTTCTAAATTTACGGTTCAAGATTCAATAATAGCTAAACCTCGTGATCCCAGGCATATAGCTTCTTACAACTCCAATAAAGCCGTAGAGAAATACAGCATGCTTCCAAAATCAAACACTTGATCTGCAAGGCAATCTGTCATCACATATATTTTATGCTAAACATCTAATTATGGCTAAACATCATTATCCTCCATTTCTTTAGCATCTCTAGACTGACAGCCCACTTAAAGTTCCCTTCAGAAGTAGTATACTCCAAAATTCCTACTTGTAATCACTTTGAAGGATTTGGTATATATCCAGTTGGATCAAATCATCTTGAATATCAAATGGAAAAATAAAGGCCTTCATTTAATGCAATAAACTATCCACCTTGGGTCTTATCTCAGGCAGTATTCTGAGATCCACAAAATTTAACAATATTTGACTTGGAGCAGAAGGCCTGAATCTATCAGGTTCCTCCTGGGCATTAACTGCAACTTCTCTAAGCTTTAATTTACAAAAACTGGCAAGCACTATAAACGCATGCCACTCCAGTCTCCAAAGACTTACAAGTATCTTGCAACTCTGCCTGGTAAACAATATTAATAGCAACATAAAAAAATCAGTCAGTTTGTTCATTTGTTTACAAGTGCTTCAGAGCACAGTAGCTTGCTTTGCCCTTTCTCTAATCCACCGGTTTGATTAAATCATGCTTCCAACTTTCATAAAATTAAGACAGGCTGCCTAATTTAAACTTAAGCTAGCATTTGCAGCATCTTACTCTGGCAAAAAAACACAACGCCTTTTTGCAAATGTTTATAGGAAAAGAAGAACAAGCTTTGTTCTAGAAGCTGGTTTGTTCAAGAAGTTGTAGATATCCACAAACTATAACAAGTGAGTGACTGCCACTAAAGTAATAACAACCTAAATAAAAGCCAAAACTTGGGTGTCACTTTTTGCGAACCTGCTAACAGCATCCGCCCTCACTGAGGAACAAATGCACATGAGTCAAGAAACATGAAAATTCTCAGATTTTCAAATTCCGCCCACAACGTAAAACCCTGACTGTAATCAGTAAATGAGCACCAATCCTGAAGTCATACAAAGATAAAACTAGACAACCATACTCAGGGTGTCAGTACTTGCCAATGAGAACACTATAACTACAGATATATCCACTCACTGAAAATTTAAAGCACGTCCAGGAAAAGCCAATAAAGTGCTCTTAATCCTTTAATGATGCAGCATGAAAAGCGATAATATCTGGTTCTCAGCAAAACAACCAACTTATCTGCCTAGTACAGGAAGCATTCATTATCGGCAAAGTTATTCTTCTTTTAAAGATTCAAAGCTTCTATGTTATGGTTGCTGATTACAATAGGTCAGCAAAAAAGATGGAGCCAGGCAAATGTCATAGATGTGTAATAACTTAACCTCTTCATTCTGCCGCTTTCACCTGCTAATTCAAACAGTTGATCATGCAACACAGAGACTGTCCCCTTAAATAATCTTTGGATTACATATATACCAATTTCACACACATCAGGATCAAAATGCCCTCAAATGGTATCTAGTAATTTGCAGCTAAAGTGAAAATTCAAAAACCAAAAAACCTCGGAAAATTTCAGCTGGGCTCCAGCTCAATAACAGATGTACCTTTTTTGTTCTTTTGAGAACCCACATCAGGTATACTAATCATGACCTTATAAACATGGATTGTAAAAGCCCAAAACAATATTTGTTTATCTTCAATTCTGATGCATGGAGAGGAACATTTTAACCGCAATTTGAGCAAAAGAGGGTTACATTCACTATCTTACAAGCAGTTGAATTTAGAGTCCAATGCGTTTTTGCATATAGAAGTCACACAACTGTTGCTTTTAAGAGGACTGACTTCAATGGAAACTTGAAGCTTTTCCACAGTGTTATCCATCATGTCAAATCTTTTATAATAAATGGAGAAAAGAAAACCTAAGAGTTAAAACCTAATAAATGTAGATTATACCTTGCTTACTTTTCAGGCTCTCTTTTGAAGGATCCAACAGGAACCGCACTAGAAGATTCGTGATTTTCCTAAATAAATGGGAAGCGCACAAATTTGTTAAGATGAAGATTAAAGCATCAAACATTGGGATTTTAACATGCATACAGATGTGGTTCAAAGAAACATAAATCTATAAAGCATGACTGATGTTGAGAGCATCGATACCTGATTAGTTGAATTTTGTCCATGTATCCGCTGAGGCCTGGCATTAAGATCAATCAAATTGTTGTCCATTTTTCCCTCGCTAACTGTGTTATTCTCTACCATTGGAACTGGAGAGGCTCTGTGGTTTTGTTTACTTTCTCTAGCTGTGAGTTTAAGCGGCTGGTTTTGGTCCCTCCTTGTTTCATTATGATCAAGAGCTTGTTGTCCTTGCTCCTCCATCCGGCCAGGTTTATCCCCCGGAAACTAAATAAGACAATCAAACAAAAAAGGTTAATTCGGAAAGCTTCTTAAATGTTTGATACAAAACTCAAAATACTTCGATTCCTAATGACAAACCTCAACCCTCTGCCTCAGCAGGAGATATCTCCCATGGGTTCTTTTACCACCAACATGTACTATCATATCGCATTGCAAGCAGAGCGAACTACCATCTATCTCACAGTAAAAGAAAGCTGCATGCACATTTCAAGACAAAGGATAAACAAAACTACTTGAAAAAAACTTCAAAAACTCACGTCCCATGAAAAAGGACAAAAATATTAGCTAAGGCAGGCCGGCATACCTGGTGCATTTTCACATATGTCACACTGTGGAACGGCGCTAGGATCTGCAAGTCCTACTCGCACGTGCCGACTAGCTAGCTTGTTGCACAAATGAACCTGTTCCAGCGCACAAACAGAGACCCATTTGCTTAAATATGACAAATTCGATGATGCTTACTTAAAAAGACCAAAACTTGAACTCCGCCATCGAAAAATTATCAAATCCAGAGCTTGATACTTTACAGTAAAAGATCATCACTTGATAGACTCAGCAAAGGATATGGCAATTTTTACTCTTTCAGTACCAAAAAAGAATTCATTTTGCAAATCCAATCAAGCCCATTTCAACTTGAGCAGAATTATTACCTTAACTCACTTAAAGAATAATCTTAGTCAATTCTCGTTAATCAAATCAAGTAAAACCAGAAAAAAATATAAAGAGACAAAAAAAATATTGTAAAAATAAAGGTCAATAATCACCTTCTCGTCACAGGAACGGCAAAGAGCAGCTTCATCAGCTGCACAAAAAAGAATCGCGGCTGCGCTCTCACACACGTCACAAATCGTTCGCATTTCTGGTTTTTTAGAACTAATTTAGGTTCTTTCTTTATTTTTATTCCCCCTTCAATCTCTGCTTTTTGCTAATTCTCCTTTCTCCATCTCAAAGCCATTTGTTGATATCCTGGAAGGATTAAATTGTTGAAGTTGATCACTTTTGAATTAAGCAGTTGGTGACATTATAATTTAGCGGGAGAGAGAGAAAGATAAAGATTTAAATGATGAAGAGAAGAGGGTATAGTAGAGGAGTGCTGGAAATGGAGTGGAGAGGAGAGACAATCGTAGTTATCTTGAGCATCTGAAATTGGAGCGAGGAAGAAGAAAAAAACGGGAGTAAAAATATATTAAAATAATATTAATTTTTTAATTTAAGGGTTTTTATTAAAATTATATTAAAATAATATTTTTTTAATTTTTAAAAACTATTTTATAAACATAAAAAAACATTTTAAATAAAATAAATAAAATTTTAAAAAACTCAATTTCAATGCATGTACAAACAAACCCTTCAAGGTAAAATTTTAAAAAACTCAATTTCAATGCATCTACAAACAAACCCTGTAATTTATGTTAATATTGCTATTCTTTTAGTGCATTTTTAGGAGCAAGAGATTATTCTTAAAATGTTTTTTATTAAAATAATATTTTTTTATTTTAAAAAAAATATTTTAATATTAATACATTAAAATAATATTTTTAAAAAATAAAGTTACATCACAACAACAAACATCACCTTACTCTAACCCACGCGTCTTACTTTTTGTGTTTTCAAGGAAAAATGTTTCCTTTATTATGTTCAAGTCATGGAAAAGGCAGGGATTAATTATCATGTTAACTCTTTTAAAATTTATATACGTTGAGAGAATTATTATTATTTTTTTATAAACTATCATTTTTTATATGAATAATATTTTTTAATTGAAAAATTATTTAATAATAATAATAATAAGTTTATAATATTTAGAAATGTAGCGTATCTTTCAATTATTTTCAATGGGCGAGTTTACAAAGCTCGAACATAAAAATAATTCATAGAAACATTTGAATAACATCTCATCTTAAATTTTAACAAACCTTAATTATAAAGTAATGTTAAATGCACTGTTAATATTTAACAATTAGATACCATATTACAATTTTTTTTCCAGGAATTAAATTTCAACGCCAATTTCTAGAGAGATGATTGGTTTAGATAATTATATTGTTGTCTGTTTTTATGAATTTAATTATATTATTATCTGTTATTTTTTAAATGAATTTAATTCTACATATACCCATCAGTGTCAAGTGACGCGAAAATGGTATAAAAAAGAGAGAAGAAAAGAGAACTGAAGCAGTGAATAATTTTGTCTTTGAAGAGGAAAAACAAATCAGCTGTGAAAAATAAAATGGTATTCCCACAAAGGGATAATGCTGGCCCCGGTTTAGTGTTTTTGCAGCGTGTGGTAGAGTAGTTCATAAGGATGAGCTGTCCATGTTTGTGATCTGTTCCGTAACTTCCGTTGTTGGTGTGGTGAATGGAGACTGTCACGCGCTGTTTAGTGTCGTGTGTGGCACGTGGGGTATGGACTCCACGGCCTCGTGGGTTCCGGGAACGTGGGTTACACCATCACGCATGATCACTCTCACTCTAGTGGTGATTTTTTGATTGGACAAGTAGATTTAGCGCTATTTCTATTTTGGATCGGAGTGCAGAGGTTTGTGTATTTTTTTTATAAAATATATCTGTTTTCAAAGAATATTAAACAATATTTTATTATTATTTTAATGTGTTTATATGAAGAAGAAAAAAATTATCTTTTAAAAAAATATTTTAGAAAAACATATGCACAGATAGAACCGGCCAAGATTATATTCCACTGTGAGCAATCACTTTGGACTTCTATTTCGTTTTTATTTCTTCGTTTTTAGCATAATCACGAGGACTCGAGTACAATTCCTCCTTCGTTGGCATGGACCCACTGCAGATTTGAACGGCATCAACGTACGTTCAAATTGTGTTTGTAAAGGATTAATTTTTTACTTCCTCCGGTGTATAGCCAGATGTAATTTTATTTTATTTTATTTTTTATAATTATATATTTATGCATTCAATCTCGACTAATTTCTCAATATTTAAAAGGTAATATCTAATTAAATTTTTAATAATTTTAAAATTTATAACACTTCAATTAGTAATATATATAGGAAACAAACTCAATATTAAATATAGTCGCGCACTAAATCCAACATTGCACATTCCGGACTTCGGTGGTGAAACTGGGGGCTATAGATGTACGAGCAGGGATGATGGCGACATGTATCATTGGATTGAGGCTCCACTGTATTTAAAACTTAATCATAATTTACAAAATACAAACTTTTAGATCTGGACCATTCGATTTAACTCTATACTCGAGTCGAGTCACTCGTGGGTTTTCAATTGAGATAATTTTTTATAAAATAAAATAATATTATTTTTATTTTAAAAAATCAATAGGTTATAATTAAATTTTTTATTAAATATGTCAATCCTTATTTTTTACGAGATCACATGGGTTTTTACATTTGCTTATTTTTATCTTAAATTAAACTCGGTTTCAGCTCTGACCTGATTGATGGATTGGATTTTAAATCTATGGCTGTTATTTCAGTCACACACACACACACACACACACACATATATATATATTATATCATATATATATATATACACATATATATATATGTATTGGTGTTAATCAGATTCTAGTAAATTGTGATTCGTGCATGTAAGGTGACAAGCATGCATGTCCGGTTATGATGGATAGCAACCCACATTGATTATTGATTTTAGCTGTCATGACCTCAGTAGACTGGAAACTATTAATAAACTCACGCGAATGTTATCGTGGACCCACTTGTAAAGCCAGAAGCCCAAACGAAAGTCAAAAAGTTTGGTACAGCAAGTTCATTTTGGTACACTAATTCATGGCCGCAGACTTGAAAGATGGTGTGTAGTGAAAGCTCTTCTTGATTGATTCTTAGCCACCAGTCTCATCTCTTCCCCTTGACCCACGTGCCCCTGTTCCAGTGTTTTTTCTGAGGCCATTGTTTCTTCTTCCCTTTTCCTACTCCTTCTCCACTCTCACCTTTACAGGCCATGAGTTTTAATAGAATGCGGTGATGAGTGATTATAATTGTTTTTTTAAATATTTTTTATATTAAAATAATATTTTTTATTTAAAAAAATTACTTTTAAATTAATTCATTAAAAAAATATAAAATATATATAAAAATTAATAAAAATTTAATTTTTTTGAAAACACAGTTTCCACGTTTTTAAACAATTTTTAAGTGTGTTTGTGTTTGTATTGAGAAAAGCGATGGTAATCATGTTTTTTTAAAATCTGATTTTAAAAAATAACTTTTTAAATAATTCTGATATAATTTTTTAAAATAATTTTTTAAAAAAATACAAAAATATTATTTTAATACATGTTAAATTTAAAAAACATTTTATAAAATAATTATTATAATATTCTTAAATATCTTTAAAATAAAATTACTCGTGGGAGTTTTTAAAAGGTATGTTTAATTTAAAAATATTAAATTAATATATCTTAAATGATTTTGTGATGATGTGATGTGTTGATAGAAAAATAAAATAAAATACCTTCAAAAAACATATTTTACTGCAGTGTCATTGTTGTGTGTAGACAGTGCAATACTCCAGGACTTTGCGTGTGAAAAAATAAAGGGCTTCGTGCGTGGTAAACTAATCGCCCCTTGTATGTTTTCATTAAACAAACACGTTTTGTTTTCGTTAACATAGTTTGGTGGCCCGTGCTTTAGCGTGGCCAAGGTAAATTTCTTTGCTCCTAAAAAAAAATAATATCAAAGCACTATCATTGTATCATAAGGAGTGATAAAAAAAAATCAACGACTTAATATAATAAAAAATAATAATAGTCTAATTCTATAAATTAAATTATAGAATAATAAAAAATTTAAAAATATCTAGAAAATTTATTTAAAAACAAAATACCAACAAAACTAAGGTTGTCAAAACCCACAAATCCCACAAGTGATATAATGTCAAATCTTAAATATAAAAAAAATATTAAATTGTGATTCAAAATAAAAAAATTAAATTTACAAAAAAATCTAAGATATAAAATAAATATATGATGAGTCAAATCACAACATAGAAGGAAAATAAAAAAAATAACATTGTAAAAATTTAAACCAACTACAATAATTAGAGATGAATATAAACAAATATTTTTTAAAAAACTGTAGATTTAAAAAGGAAATAAATCAAATTTAACATGAAATAAAAAAAATCACAAGGGGTGAAAAAACAATCTCAATCAAAAAATAATAATAACAATATTTGATATAAAAATAATATATCAAATAATAAAATATAGACATAAATCAACTCAATAAAAAATTCACAAAAAATAACAATAAAAATAATAACAACAATATTTGATATAAAAATAATATATTAAATAATAAAATACAGAGATAAATCAACTCAATAAAAAATTCACGACAAAAGGCATTATAATTGAAAAAATAAAGTCTAAATATAATACAAAAACAATGCTTAAAGGGATTTAATTAGAAAAATAATTAATTTAAAAAATAATCAAAAATGAAATACATTGCAATTAAAATAAAAATATCAAATTTGGTATAATAATAAAATATAAAATAATTTATTTTAAAAATTCAATTAATTCAATATTACAATAAAAAAAAATAAAAATCTCATTTAGTTAAACAAATAAGTAGCTAGACTTTTTTTTTTTTTTTTCCTGCAGTGGTCAGTGTGCTTTTATAGGTGGAGGGAGCAAAAAATAGAGAGGAAGGGAAAAACTCATTATTGGCTCCGCGAGCACCTGCGAACACGCTAAGTATTATTTGGTAATTACATTATATAAAAAACATGAAATTACTAATTAATATCCTTTTTTTAACGTAACTACTAACAAGTCATGTGAAAAAAACAATGCACTCCTAAAACTAACCTTGCCAGCCAGCCTTTTATGATGGTTATGGATTCGCACAATAAAAACTGGTATTTTATAGTTAATTGAAAATTGTTATTACTAAGGAAAAAAAATTAAAAACTTTTATAGAAACTCAATTCAGTTTTTATTTATTTTCTTTGAATTGTTTGTGCGAGGTAAAATGTTCTGGACAGCAAAATATTTTGAACAATTTTCATGCTCATGTACGAATAAAGCATTTTGTATGTTCACTGTGACAAGAGCTAGACAACGACACGAGTTATTCGAAAAACAGTAATGCTTGCCAGGTGTATTTACT